GGCCGTATTAAGCAATTCAGTGCACCTCAAGTTCAAAGAGCCATATAGAATGCCTGGTACCCAGGATCTATTCAATGAAGAGTATCATTAATCATACAAGATAATAATAACAATAATGATGATGAAAGCAACAATGATGTGGTAGTGGTTATGATGATGGTAATGGTGGTGGTGAAGGTGATAGAAGTGGTGATGGTGGTGGTAGCAGTGGTGGTAGTGGAGGTAATAGAGGTGGTGATGGTAGTGATGGTGGTGATGATGTTGTTGTTAGGTGCTGTTGAGTAAGCTCCAACTCATAGCGACCCTATGTACAACAGAACGAAACACTGCCCAGTCCTGTGCCAGTCTCACAATCCTTGCTATACCTGAGACCATTGTTGCAACCACTGTGTCAATCTATCTTGTTGAGGGCTTCCCCTTTTTCACTGACCCTCCACTTTACCAAGCATGATATCTTTCTCCAGGGAATGAACGGTCCTTTCTGACAACCTGACCAAAGTAAGTGAGACAAAGTCAGGCCATTCTCTCTTCCAACAAGCATTCTAGCTGCACTTCTTCCAGGACCAATTTGTTCTTCTGGCAATCCATGGTACTTCCAGTATTCTTCAGCAACACCACCACTCAAAAGCATCAACTCTTCTTTGGTCTTCCTTATTCATTGTCTAGCTCTCACATGCATATGAGGTGATTGAAAATACCATGGCTTGGGTTAGACACACCTTAGTCTTCAAGGAGACATCTTTGCTCTTCAGCTCTTGAAAGAAGTCTTTTTGCAGCAGATTTTCCCAATGCAATATGTCATCTGATGTCTTGATGGCTGCTTCCATTGGTGTTGATTGTGCAGTCAAGTAATAGGAAATCTTTGACAACTTCAATCTTTTCTCCATTTATCATGATGCTGCTTATTGGCCCAGTTGTGAGGATTTTCATTTTCTTTATGTTGAGATGGAATCCATACTTCAGACTATAGTCTTTAATCTTCATCAGTAAGTGTTTCAAGTCATCCTCACTTTCAGCAAGCAAAGTTGTGTCATCTGCATATCACAGGTTGTTAATGAGTCTTCCTCCAACCTTGATGCCATGATTTTCTTCATATAGTCCAGCTTCTTGGATTATTTGCTCAGCATACAGATTGAGTAAGTATGGTGAAAGGATACAAGCCTGACACACCGTTCCTGTTTTTAAACCATGCAGTGTCTTCTTGTTCTGTTCAAAAGACAGCCTCCTGGTCTACGTACAGGTTCCTCATGAGTACATTTAAGTGTTCTGGAAATCCAGTTCTTCTCAATGTTATCCATAAATTGTTATGATCCACACAATCAAATGCTGCTTTTGCATAGTCAATAAGACACAAGTAAACATCTTTCTGCTATTCTTTGCTTTCATCCAAGATCCATCTGACATCAGCAATGATGTCTCTCGTTCCACATCCTCCTCTGAATCCAGCTTGCATTTCTAGAAGTTCTCTGTCAATATACTGCTGCAACTGTTTTTGAATTATCTTCAGGAAGATTTTACTTGCATGTGAAATTAATGATATTGTTTGATAATTTCCAAAATCTGTGGGCTTACCTTTTTTTGGAATGGGTACAAATATGGATCTCTTCCAGTCAGTTGGCCAGGTAGCTGTCTTCCAAATTTCTTGGCATAGATGAGTAAGTCTCTCTAGCATGGTATCTGTTTGTTGAAACATCTCAGTGGGTATTTCGTCAATTCCTGTTCTTCACCAATTCATTCAGTGCAGCTTTGACTTCTTCCTTCAATACCATTGGTTCTTGATCATATGCCACCCCTTGAAATGGATGAACACTGACCAGTTCTTTTTGGTACAGTGACTCTGTATTCCTTCCATCTTCTTTTGATGATTCCTACATCATTCAATATTTTGCCCATAGAATCTTTCAATATTACAACTTAAAACTTGAATTTTTTTCCTCAGTTCTTTCAGCTTGAGAAATGCTGAGTGTGTTGTTCCCTTTTGGTTTTCTACCTCCAGGTCTTTGGACATTTCACTATAGTAATTGACTTTGTCTTCTTGAGCTGCTCTTTGAAATCTTCTGTTCATCTCTTTTATCTTATTATTTCTTCCATTTGCTTTAGCTGCTACCCATTCAAGGGTAAGTTTCAGAATCTCTTCTGACATCCATTTTGGTCTTCTCATCCTTTCCTGTCTTTTTAATGACCTTTTGCTTTCTTAATGGGTGATGCTCTTGATGTCATCCCACAATTCTTCTGGTTTTTGGTCATTGGTGTTCAATGCATCAAATCTATTCTTTAGATGGTCTCTAAATTCAAGAGGGATATAATCAAGGTCATATTTTGGCTCTCATGGACTTGTTTTAATTGTCTTCAACTTCAACTTGAACTTGCATATGAGCAACTGATGGTCTGTTCCACAGTCAGCTCGTGGCCTTGTTTTGGCTGAAGATATTGAGCTTCTCCATCACCTCTTTCCACAGATGCAGTAGATCTGATTCCTGTGTATTCCATCTGGTGAAGTCCATGTGTGTAGCTACATTTTATGTTGTTGAAAAAAGGGTATTTGCAATGAATAAATCATTGGTTTTACAAAATTCTCTCATGAGATCTCCAGAGTTATTTCTATCACCAAGGCCATATTTTCTAACTACTGGTGATTCTTCTTTGTTTCCAACTTTCTACCTCAATCACCAGTGATAATCAACACATCTTGATTGTATGTTTGGTCAATTTCAGAGTGCAAAAGTTGGTAGAAGTCTTCAATTTCCCCATCTTTGGCTTTTGTGGTTGATGTGTAGATTTGAATAATAGTAGTATGAACTGGTCTTCCTTGTAGGCATATGTATATTATCCTATCACTGACAGCATCGTACTTCAGGATAGATCTTGAAATATTCTTTGTGACGATGAATGCCACATCATTCCTTTTCAATTTGTCATTCCCAGAATAGTAGACAATATGTTTGTCTGATTTAAAATGGCCAAAACCAGTCCATTTCAGTTCACTAATGCCTATATATCAATCTTTATGCTTTCCATTTCATTTTTTACAACTTCCAATTTTCCTAGATTCATACTTCATGCATTCCATGTACTGATCATTAATGGATGTTTGCAGCTGTTTCTTCCCATTTTGAGTCATGTCATATCAGCCAATGGAGGTCCCAAAGGCTTTACTCCATCCCCATCATTAAGGTCAGCTCTACTCTGAGGAGGCAGCTCTTCCCCAGTCATATGTTGAGTGGCTTCCGACCTGAGGGGCTCATCTTCTGGCACTATATTGGACAATGTTTCAGGCCTATTTATAAAGTTTTCCAATACTATATCAGTCAGTGTATTCATAAGGTTTTCACTGGCCAATTCTTTGAGAAGTGGATGGCCCTTTCCTTCTTCCGAGTCTGTCTTAGTCTGGAAGCATCGCTGAAACCTGTCCACCATGGGTAATCCTGCTGGTATTTGAAATACTGGTGGCATAGCCTCTAGCCTCACAGCAACACACAAGCCACCATAGTATGACAAACTGACAGATGAGTGGTGGGGTGATGATGGTAGTGGTGGCTATTTTGAGTGATGTTCCAGGATTTCCTGTCTCCCCTTGGGTAACAATAAGACCCAAAATCAGGGAAAATGGGGTCTAGCCTGACAATTCTTTGGTGTGAGAGGCTCTGGGCTCTCTGAAGCTATGTCTCATACTGTGAGTTTTGATTAAAAAGGTAGACTGGTTTCACAAGCAGGTGCCAAGGGCATGCTCCCAGGGAATGACACTATCTGCCTTCCCATGAGAAAAGACAAGTTAAGAACTCTTGGGAATGAAAAAGCATGTAGACACAGGCTCTTCCAGAAATGGGAAGTTTTGAATACCCCATACTCATGTGTTCCCCACCCCCAGAATCCTCATCCTTAGCCCTCCCTGCTCTAATATCTTCTATAGAGTTTATCCCTTTCTGTTGTTGAAAGAGCTCTGGTGGTGTAGTGGTTAAGGCATTTGACTGCTAACCAAAAGGTCAGTGGTGCAAACCCATCAGTCACTCTGCAGGAAAAAGATTGAGGCCTTTTTTGGGGTAGTTTTTGGTTCTTCTTGTTAGCTGCCACCTCGTCAGCCCTCAACTCATGATGACCCCATTTACTGCAGATCTAAATGTTGCCCAGTCCTTCATGAACCCCATGATCAGTTGAGGACTGGACCACTGTGATCCACTGGTTTTCTGTGGCTGATTTTTGGAAGTAGATTGCCAGGCCTTTCTTCCTAGTCTGTCTTAGTCTAAAAGTTCTGCTAACACTTGTTCACTATCCTAGCAACACACAAGCCTCTGCTGACAGACAAGTAATAACTGTGCATGAGGTGTGTATGAGTTCTCCTGCCTGAAAGTGGAGAACTCTACCACTGAAGCATCATTACCCCTACCATAATTGTTTATTTGTTATCATTTCATTTTTTATCATCTTTTAGAATGCATTAAGGAGCTCTGGCGGTGTAGTGGTTAAGGCATTTGGCTGCTAACCAAAAGATTGGTGGTTCGAACCCACCACCTGCTCTGTGGAAGAAAGATGAGGCAGTCTGCTTCCATAAAGATTTACAGCCTTAGAAACCCAATGGGGGTCGCTATGAGCCAGAATAGATTCAACGGCAGTGAGTTTGGTTTGGTTTTTGGTATAACATATGTTATAATTTACTTATTTTCTATGTTTATGCCCCCTCTTCCCATTAGAAGCTTCACCAGGACAGGAATCTTTGGCTCAGTGCTATATACCAAATACCAGGAATGGTGCCTGGTGCATAACAGGTGTTCAGCAAATAGTTGTAGAATGAACAAATGCTGAAAGGGAGGGATAAATGACTGCCTTTGTTCTCCCCATAGGCCCAGCTTCCTGGCTTGTTACTTGGTTTCTTCTCAAACAAACAGAGAGGGGTGGGGTGTGGCCCTGAGGGCCCAGCCTGTAGACTTTCAGACTGGACCCTGTCTGGGACTGTGGAGAGGACAAAAAGTGTTCAGCCCTGGAATCAGTCCCTGACGGTGGCCATGGCCTTCCGGGAGTCCAAGCCCTGGGTCCCTGCATCCCTGCTGAGCCAGAGGCTGAAAGTTGAGGAGAAAACACTGGGCCTGGAGTTCGAAGTCTTGAGCATGAGGTTTAATGAGGCTGGCAGATACGCCCTGCGCCTGTCCGCTGAGAACCTCCTGCAGGCCGGCTCCAAGGAGAGGGTGCAGTTGCAAGTGAATGGTGAGGACCCTCTCCCTGCCTGTTCTACTGTCACTGATGTCATTGAACAGCAGAATCTTGGCCAGAGCATTGCCCTCTCCAGGAACAAGTTTGTCTTCATCTTGCCCAAAGGTACAAAGTAAGGTTGGTAGTGGAGAGAGAAGAGCTGGAAACCTCTGCCCTGCCCCTTTGGGGTCCCAGAGTGCTTCAGTGGAATTGGGAGGGGCAGGGGCAGAGCTCTAGACTGACGCCCGAAGCTCTGCTTGGAGGACCTTGGGCAAATGTTGACCCTCTGTGAGTCCCTGATGCCTTCCGTGTGACTTGAGGACATTGGTACTGTTCATATACTGTCCAATGAGAAGGAACTAAAAGGACAGATGACGAAACAGCTTTGTGAGCACACAGCAGGCTCTGGGCCAGTCTGACTGTGGATGTTACAGCAAAGAACATCAGAATCAGCCCCAGATTGCCCAGTCCTGAGCACTGGACTGTGTGTGTGTGGTGGGGGGCAGAGAGGAGACCCAGACCTTACCTTCTAGGAGCTTCCAGAATAGGTGAATGGGCAAGAATGCCAAGCAGGAAATAGTTAAGTAAGCTGGAAGGAGGAGCAGATCCATGACTAGACTCTGAGGCCACCCAGGCAGGCTTCCTGGAGGAGGAGGAGGAACAGGAAGACATAGAGAAACCAAGTCCCAGCCTTCAGACAGGCAGAACTCAGGAGCAGGCTGAACTCTTCTCTCAGGTTGGTATGGGGGCCCCAGACCACCTCATTGGCTAAGAGCCCTTTCTCCTTCACCTGTAGGCTTGGACTCGGTGTCAGGAAATCGGGGAAGTACAAGGGATCCTGAGAAGAGGTCACAGCACCTACCAGGGAAATCTTACCCAAGCCTGCATGGCTTCTCAAAGGCTGTACAGCCTAGTGTCCCCAAGGGCCCTGCCTGCCTCCCCACTTCCTGGGGGACACAGTGAAACCCAGAGCCCAACTCTGAACCCCATGTCCCCTGACCAGGGTTTTGCAAGAATGACAGGCATGGTTGACTGATTCCAGGGCATGATGCATGGCTTCAGGTGGAAACACTGAGGTTGAATGGGGCCTCAGGACGGACAGCCCAGCAATTGGCTGAGGCCATTTTCCCTATCTATCCACACTCAGACCAGCCCTGCATGAACTTCGCCTCTTGGGACCACGAGGACCTGTACCACTACTGTGGCACCCTGGCTCTGCTCTGGGCCAGTGCAGACCTCATGTCTTGCCACTGTGGGGGCCTAGCCTATAGTGTGGTCTTCCAGGCACACCAGGCCCTGAGGCCACCTGCCTTAAACTGCTCACCAGGGGCCAGCCAGCCAGAGCCAGTGTCACTGTGTCCAGAGCCCCAGCTCCCCAGGCTGCAGGTGGGTGCTCCCTGGGTCCCACTTTGGTTCTGCCATCTCCCCACTCCAGGGCACAGGACCCAGCCTCTCTGATAAGCCTGGCCTGCTGCCCCCATCCCTCACTGAGCAGGCAACACAACTTCCCAATATGTATTTAATGTTCCTTCATGCCTTTTCTTGGCTTGAGGGCTCTTTTCTTTTAATCATTGGATAATGTTCCATAGATGTACCATAGTTTGTTTATCCATTCACCCACTGAAGGAAATGTTGGTTGCCTCCAATTTTTTTTTTTTTGTTGTTGTTGTTGCAATCATGAATGAAGCCACTATAAACATTTGTGTGCAGGTTTTTGTATGGATATAAGTTTTCAACTCATTTAGGTAAATACCAAGAACACAACTGCTGGACCATATGGGAGCTCTGGTGGCGTAATGCCTAAGGCATTTGACTGCTAACCAGAAGCCTGGTGGTTCAAATCCACCAGGCACTCCTCAGAAGGAAGACTGGATAATCTACTTCCGTAGAGATACCACAAGAAGGGGTCGCTATGAGTTGGAATTGACTCAGTGGGAGTGGGTGGGTTTGGTTTTGGTTTTGTAATAGGGGGGTACTGGTACCTAATAATTGTCTTGATTTGCAATTCCCTAACGACATGACGTTGAGCATCTTTTCATATGCTTTTTTGCCATCTGTATATCTTCTTTGGTGAGGTGTCTGTTAAGATCTTTTGCCCATTTTTAAAATTTGGTTGTTTGTTCTCTTATTGCTGAGTTTTAAGGAGTTCTTTGTATATCTTGGGTATAAATCCTTCATCAGATGTGTGTTTTGCAAATATTTTCTCCTACTCGATAGCTTGTCTTTTTATTCTCTTAACAGTGTTTTTCACAGATTTTTAACTTTAGTGAAGTCCAAGTTATCAATAATTTCTTTTATGGATTATGCCTTTACTGTTACATCTGAAAAGTCACCATCAAGCCCAAGGTCACCTAGGTTTTCTCCTATGTTGTCTTCTAGAAGTTATACAGTTTTGTGTTTAACATTTAGGTCAGTGATTCATTTTGAGATAATTTTTGTGAAAGATGTAAGGTCAGTGTCTAGATTTTATTTTACTTTTTTTTTGCATGTGGATATCCAGTTGTTCCAGATTATTTGTTGAAAAGACTGTTTTCTCCATTGGATTGCCTTTGCTCTTTTGTCAACTGAGTTGGCTGTATTTGTATAGGTCTATTTCTGGGCTCTCTTCCATTCCACTGATCTGTCTGTATAGTTTTTCACCAATTGGGTTGGGTTTTAGTTTGTTTTTGTTTTATGTGGTGGATGAGCATGCTCCGAGACCCTTCAGTCCCCAACCTCAATCTCTCATGTTCTTACTAGGTTCCAGTGGAGCCCCTGAGTGACCACAAGACTGAATTATCCTCTGTGTACCCACCCTTAAGCCCATCTAGCTCTTACCACAGCCTGGAGCGGCTCAGCCCTGAACCAGGATCCTGGCCACCTCAGACCCAGGTAAGGGTCAGGGGGTTTAGACTTTGACCATGGCGCAGGAGGCTTCCCTAATATGGCCAAGTTCTGTAACCAGGCAATGTGCCTGGTAGACCTCACAGCCAACACAGGTAGAAACTAGTAGAGTAAGTAGCCAAAAATTTCACATGTGTAGAAACTGAACCCCAAGGGTGCTTGATGTTATTTAATGCTAACATTTTCTGGGGGGCTTAGTACAAAAATAGTGTTTGGAACCCAAAACTTGATCAATTCCCATGTTCAGGGTGCCATCTGGCTTGAAGATGGTCATTTATAATATGGGCATCACGCATGGCCCTGTAAGACATGTGCTAAAAGGAACACTGTGGTGTGTGAATGTGCATGTTGGATTTTGGAGCCTAAGAAAGGCTTCTCAAAGGAGGTGACATTTCAGATGAAACTTTCATATATACATACATTCATCCACTCCTCTATCCTTCCATCTACTCATTCATCCATTTATCCATCTATCTATCCATGCATCCATCCATCCATCTCTCCCTCCCTCCAGTACTCCATCCATTTATGCAACATTTGTCAGGGATAGCAATTCTGGGACTTGGGTGGGCATCATATGAGGAGGGTCTAGAATAATCTGGTTGAGGCAAAGGATAAGATGGAAGATGAGCTGAGGTTGGAATCAAATGTTGGCAGTGGTGCCTGGCTCTCCTGTTGCACCACTGTTCTCAGCAGCCAGAGCTGGTCTGGTACTGAAGTGGAGCTCAGGGTGGTGGGCTGAGTCAGGTTGGGAGAGGACCCAGGATGGAGAAAATGAAAGGAATCAAGAGCAGAAGAGAGGGGGTGGATATTCAATTCAGGAGGCAGTGGGGAACAACCAAAAGGGTTTGTAGTGAGAAAGACACCATCTAGGCTGTGGCTTAGGCACATTGACCTAGTGGCATGTGCCAGGGGAACTGGATGGAAGTGCCAGGGACCCGGGGCAAAGCTCAGCCTGCTACGTGGGCCACTTTGGCTTCCATTCATTCATTCCTTAGTTAACAAATACTCTTTGACCACCTATTCTGTCCCCAGCTTTTTACCAATTGGATGAGCTTTTTCAGTTTGGGTTTTTTGTTTTGTTGGGTGCTGAGGGCATAGCAGTAAGTTGATCAAGTGGTTCTTATGTGAAGGTCTGTTCCCTCTGCCTGCAAGTTCCAGGCCTGGCCCCTTGTTTTGCTTCCTGACCTTCCCCTTTGTCCTACAGTTTATCATAGGACTGGACATGTAGAAGTCACAGAGCTTGGGGAGAAGCAGTCCTTCCTCTCCTGGTCCCCAAACATCCTAGCCACCCCAGAGCCAGGGGGCCACATGAACAGGACTTTCCAGACTGCAGCTCTCAATGCATATGAGAGAGAGGACACCGCTGCAGGGCGAGGGGGTTGACAAGATGGTTGAGTCTGCAGCAGCAGCAGCTCTAATTTCTGTTTTTTAAAGCCATCATCTCCCTGCCATGCTCCCTCTTAAAGTGTCAGATGTCTGCTTCTACCAAGACAAGAAAATAGCTTTCAAGGGAGAGGAAAATCGCTTCCCTCCTGGGGGGCCAGCAATCACAACCCTGACAATGGGGCCAGGAAGCCCTAAGGAACTGACAATGGAGAGTAGTTCTGTAGAGAATAGAGGGGCTGTGTCTTTCAGCTCAGGCAAACAGCCCAGTGGTTAAGCCTGAAGAATGCAGGCGCCTTTCTGATGCTGGGATTTAGAGGCTCAAAGACACAGCAGGAGGAACAGCAGCAAAACCAGGTTCTCAGTGAGGGGTGGGGCCCACAGGCTGTCCTTTGGGCCTGTGGGCCAGCTCCCTTGGGAAGTGGATATGGCCTAGAACCACAGGGACCCTCGAAACCATCCTCCCTTTCCCTCTTTGTTTGTGGATAGGGAAAATGAAGCTCCCGAAGGAAGGATTTAACCCAGCTCTCTGATTCTCAACTGAAGTAGAGGAGCAAGGAGCTGACAAGGGATGTGGGGATGGTGGGAAGAAAAGACTGCAAGCAGAAAGGATGGGGAGAGAATTGTATTCTTGGGGTGCAGCTCAACTTCAGTAACATTCAATTCAAGGCCAGGAATGGATGATTTCTGGGCTCCAGATGCAAATATCTAGGTTGAAAGCTGCCTCTTTCAGGAAGCCTTTAGGAGCTCTAGTGTCATAATGCCTAAGGCATCTGACTGCTAATCAGAAGCCTGTCGGTTCAAACCCACTACAGAAGCCTGTCGGTTCAAACCCACCAGCCACTCCTTGGAAGGAAGACAGGGCAATCTACTTCCCTAAATATAACGCCTTGAAAACCCAAGGAGGGGTTCGAGGGTTGACTCAATGGCAGTGAGTTTTTTTTTTTTTTTTCTAGTTTTCATTAACAAGGACCTTCCATGCTTTCCTTAGTCCTGCATCATCCGGCATTTCAACTACTCTATCTGTTGAATTTGTAGGCTCACAAGTTGTTCTCCAACTTGTGTAGTGTGGGTCATTTTTTCAACCAGAACTGATGCTGGTCATGGGTGTCTGGCAGGGAGGAAGTAAGAGGGAGATTAGGAATGTAATGATCAAGAATGTGTATGGCACAGGAGGCAGGGCTCAGTCTGGGCTGTGACCAAGGTCAGGGTTCAGTCTGTGACCAAGGTCAGGGCTCAGTCTGTGCCCAAGGTCAGGGTTCAGTCTGTGGCCAGGGTCATGGCTCAGTTTGACACGTCAAGGCTCAGTGTGAGCTTTAATGACAGACCTTACTTCTCAGTCATGGGCCACAGCTTAAAAAACTCACTGCCATTGAGTCAATCTCTACTCATAGCGACCCCTCCTTGGGTTTCCGAGGCTGTATCCTTATGGAAGTAGATTGCCCAGTCTTCCTTCCCAGGGCCCACAGCTTACACAGTTTCAAATGGCCATGCCGGTGCTGGTGACAGCATTCCCTGCATCCTGGACACCCACCTGGAATAATCAGTTGCCCTGAACTATTGTTACTGTGGCTACTACACATCTGACCTTCCCTTCTTCAGTCCTCACACTCCTATGCCTGTGAGGGGGAGGGAGTGGTGGGAGGGATCATCCCCCATAATATTTCCAGTATGTACAAGCACGGATGCCAGAACAGAGAGCACTCTCTGAGCCCCTGATCCATGAGTCAGGGAACGGCATGGGCAGGCAGGGGCTACAGAGGGAGTTTTGCCATACATGGGAGGGTGACCACCTCCAGATTCCGTCAGCCACATGCAGCTGCCCTTCTCCAGACCCAGCTACAGGGCATTTCTGGGCGACTTCCTTTCTGGGCAGAGCTCCACCAGATTCATCCCATCCCCTGATGCTGCCTCCTGTCGCCTCCTGGCTGGTTTGAGACCATATGGCTGCACCACCCCCAGGGTAAGGGGGAGTTTATCAGCCAGAAATGAGAGTGGCATGTCCAGTGCTGGGCAGAATGAGCAGATGAGGAAGGACCATAGGGGCCATTCCCAAGGAATTCTTCCAAGAGCCAGTG